GGGCGGGATTGAATGGGGGGCCCGCGGGCCGAGCACGCCCGCCTGAGGGCTGCGGCCTGGAGGCGCTTCCGGGGGGGCGGGCGGCCCCCGACAGGGCTGGCCTGGGACTCGGGGCTGCGGGGAATGCCGTGCAAGGACCGGGACCGTCCGGGGTACGGACGCCCGGGCGGCCGGGGTGGCAACTTCCCGGAGTGCGGGCGGCGGCTCTCTGCTCCCCCTGGCGGCGGGGCCGGGGGCACCGTGAGCCCGGCGCGAGGCGCCCAGCGGGGTGACCGGGCCACCCGGGCCCTGCCCGGCCCGCCCCGCCCGCGCCACAATGAATGGGCCAGCGGTGCCAGGCCCAGGCGGAAGCGGGCATCTCCGGCCCGGCCGCCCCAGGCCTGGCGCCCTCCCTGGCCCGCCGGGCTCCCCAGTCCGCGCCCTGGGTGAGGGAGGACGGGCTGGGGTGTGCGCTTCCAGTAGGGCGTCCGGGAAGCGTCGGGGACCCTTCCCCAGATTACAGATAATAAATGATAGCTCATTGTGGTGTAACGGTTAAGGGAGTGGGCTTCTGAAATCCCGGCAGCGTTCACGGTGACCTGGGCCAAGCTGTCTCACTCCAGGTGTCCGCTTTCCCATCTGAAAAACGGGGCTGCCAATCATTTCTACTTAAGAGAAAAGCTGTGAAGACCCAGCACGTAGGGAATAGCCAACAAGTGTTGCCTGTTACTGCTGGGATGAGTTTTTAGGGGCTTGCCGGGCATGAGAGGGAGGTGGAGTCTGGTTCTGCTTCCAGCCCGCCTACCGCAGGCCGAGGGCTCACAGAAGTCCCAAGGTCTGGATTCCACTCCCAGCCCTCACTTACAGACCCTCTGTGCAAGTCCCTTAACCTCTCTGAACCTGGGTTTCCTTATCTGTAACCTGGAGATCTACCACCCACTCACCGTAGGGTCAAGGCAACCTCCTCAGCAAGTGCTGGGAAAAACTAGGACCTTGTGCAAACAGAAGGCAGTTTGGCAATAACTCCTGGAGGTCGGAGGTCAGCAGAGACTGGGAAGCACCAAGGAAATGAAACTTTGAAGGGTGCTTGGGAACCTCCCACCTCACTGTTTGCTTGCTGTGCTGGAACCTGCAGGGTGGGGGCATCTGGATGGTATTTTTTGGAGTTTGGGGAAGTGCGACCACCAGGGCCTCAACATCCTAAGCTAGAGATCGCTGTAGAATTCTGACTGCTGAGTGTTTCTGGAGACCCAGGTCTGCTTTCCAGCACTCGCAGGAGGGACAGCTGCACGTTTTACACCCGCCCTACGCAGTTGGGAAGCATTCTCCTATTGACTCTGCCTCCCTCCTTTACACTTTGCTTCTGTGCTTGCCCTTCTTGACTTCCCCTTAATCTGACACCAGAGAAGTCTTGGTGATCCTGCAGCATGCTGCTTACGGTGGTGATGTCTCAGTTACTTTATGAACTTTCTAAAGGTCAGCCCCACCATGGGCTGCCAACCTTTTTCCAGAAAGAAGTTTCCGGTTCTAAGGTTCTGGAGATGCCATTTCCCTGTCTATTCACGCAAAGGAGGAAAAGTGGGGGCATACCTCCCACTAGGCTGTTTTCCCTTTACCTGGAGCAATGCACATGTGGCTTGCGGGGCGGCTGGGATAGGGACAAGAAAGGTGTCTTGGGGTTTGGAAACAGAGGATGTTCAGTGGGTAGAGCTGTAGGCACCATGCTGTAACAGGACTCCTTTCTTTCATAGTTAGGAATCAGCCTTTGAACATCTGTAAAGAGATAGTGTGGTACCTTGGTGCATGAATATTTTTTGGTGATGGGAGAGTTTTAGATAAGTCCTGAATCGTTGAGTCACATTTGAGCAATTAAGCTCTTTGCTGAAACGATTCCTAAGTTAACAGGCTGCAGTAATTATACAGTACCAAATTCTGTCGAAGTGGTTGAATGGAAACGGTTTAAGTGGAATATTGGCTTATTATGTAATAGGGACACCTTTTAAAAGTGTCAGGACTCCAGACTCCTCTTATTCTTTTATCTCTGGGAACTTTTACTAATGAATGGCACTTAGGCAGGGACTCAAGTTCTTTCGAGACTGTGGATTTTTGTTCGCTAAAATCTTGTTTTGGGAGGGAAAAAATAATGGTCAGTCAGAATTAGGAAGGCAGAGACTGTGCTATCCAGCTGTATATCCAGGGCCTACAGTAGTAGTTAAGGCCTGGCCTGTAACACGATAAATGTTGACCAAGTGAGGTAGACCGCCATACCTGTTAATATTCTTGTTAGCCTCCTACTTCATTGGACAACTCAAGCTGAGCTCAGCTTGGTTTTTAAGGTTGGCTTTTGAGAATCAGAGTTCACAACTTGGACGCATATCTAGGCCTTGCAGCAGCCCCATTCTATAGAATAGGTATGGTTGTTCCCATTCTGTGGATGGGAACATGGAGGCCCAACAGGTCAGGTGGTGGTCAGGTCAGTTCCTGTTGCCCAGGTGCTGGGCAGTGTGGGCGTGGCCTTCTGAATGTTCACCCACAGGGCCTGATAATTCCACATTTGCTGGGATAGTAACTACCTAAGGGAGGATGTGGAGCTAGAAGATCAGAATTAAGAGCTTCATAGGAAGAAAGGTATTGAAAATGTATTCAGTGCAAGAAGGTATTTTTCATTTCTTTATCAAATGTCTCCTGTGTGCTGGGCCTTCAAACACTATAAATATAAATGAATGAGACCTGTTTCTTATGTGAAGAACTCTGTCGTCCGATACAGTAGCTATATAGAGCTGTTTCAGCTTAAAACAAGTACAATCAAGTAAAATTAAAAAATTGTTTCTTAGTCATACTAGCCATATTTCACATGCTCAGGAGCTGTGTGTTTGCTGTGCAGATTTAGATAGTTTCCATTATCACCAAGAGTTCTGGACAGTGCTGATCTAGAGATAGCTGGAATTCTTTTTTTCTTCTTTTTTTTTTTTAAGAGTTCAAGGTAGTTGGGATTCTTTAAACATTCAAGTCTCCGTTCTTGATCATTTAGAAGTAACATGTTGAACCATATAAGATGCCCATTTTATACGTCAAAAACAGTTGGCTAGTGGCAGTTCATGGGCTTCACCCTAATAAGATACCACGCTTGGAAAGCATTGATTTCTGCCTCTTGTGTGCATCGTAAATTGCATACCAAGAAAAAAAGTGGGTGGGGGAGCAGCACAGATAGTGTCCCTACCCGGGGGGAAATTCTTACCTGCTATCAACAGCATCAGAATGGTCAGCCGGACCAAGCCAAATAGGTATTGGGCAGACAGCATATGGCTTGTAGGGAAAGTTAATATTTAATTCTAAGGGAGAGCCTGGGCAAGAGGGCTATCCAGCATTATAGAAAATTAACTCAGGGACTTCCTAGGAGGGTGTTTTCTTAGGCAGACAGATTCTCACGAGTCTCCTGAAACCTGCAACCGGACTCCCACATCTAAAAACCAGACACACCTGGGGCACCTGGGTGGCTCAGTCGGTTAAGCATCTAACTTCGGCTCAGGTCATGATCTCAGGGTCCTGGGATTGAGCCTCCGCATTGGGCTTCCTGCTCAGGGGGGAGTCTGCATCTCCCTCTCCCTCTCTCCCTCCCCCTGCTTGTGCACGTGCATGCTCACTCCCTCAAATAAATACAACCCTTGAAAAAAAAATAAAAACCGGACACATCTAATGTGTTTCCCTTAAGTGCCGTGAGTGACATGCGTATCCCACTGTGTAGCAATGGGAAGCAACTTTGATTTATGAAGAAAATTTTGTAATTTCTAAATTCGTTATTTTGCCAAGATTGGAACAGCTGCTGGTCCTTAAGCCTTACACATAGCAGTGTCTTGGTGTTTTCATACTTGGCTCACATGAGTTGTTTCCTGGGTCATTTGCAGGGCTCTGTTTTACTCTATACAACTTTGAAAGGATCACTGGAGAGTATTTGGGAAGACTTTGTGAATTCTTGGCTGTACTAGTGGGCTTATCTTAGTCCTCCTTGTAGAATAAGGTAAAACCAAAGTTAACAAAGAACCCAGAATGATGGGCAGCTGCTTACTCTCTTTTTGGTCCGAGAGGAGGTTCACTAAGATTGTTCTGGAAGTTATCAGCTATTATAGTGATAATGAGCGGCATCTGCTGGCTAAAAAGTTGGAATAAAAGACCATCTTAACCTGAAACCTTTAATTCCAGGCCCTAACCCTGGTCAAGGTGTGAGTGGACCAGGTCTGTTTTAGGCTGTCTTGAGCCTGGTTCCAAGATGGTGCCCTGCATGGACTGAACTTGGCCTGCACATGATAATCTGTTTGGCCCTCATGTTATTAAACAACTAAGCCACCTTTTAAAGTTTTTCGTTAGAAGTCTAGCTTTGGGGGTTCTTCTGGGGAGAATGGGAATGTGTGAGCACAGCAGGTCTGCTTTCTTG